GAGAGCTCCGAGGGCCCAGGCCTGAGGGCACCAGGGGAGGAGCCCCTCCCCAGCCTGGGGTCACAGGCTGCTGGAGAGTGGGCTGGCTTGCCAGGGTTTGGGGTGGGCCTGCAGCCTCCAGGGCACACAGAGGGGTCTGCAGGCAAGCTGGGAGTGGACTGTATAGGCACAGAGGGGCTGCATGCTCTGGGTATGTGGCTGGGGTGCAGCATCCAGGACGTCTCCACACCTCTCTGCTGCTCGCTACCCGGGGAAGTGGAGCCAGAACAGGCAACAACCAGAGCAGGAGCCAGCCTCTGTCCACCTTCAGTGTGCTCCACAGTAAGGCCCAGCTCACTGTAGGGGAGGCTCAGAGCCCAGTGTGAATGTGAGCATGTGTGCATGTGTGGCAGTGGTTGGTGCACATGAAAGTGTGTGCATACTCAGGAGCTGAATGGGTGAGAGGGAGGAGGGGCCTTGTTCTATCAGCATCCAAATGCAAATAAATTAAACATCCCAACCAAGGATGGAGCATTGGAAGCTGCCTTGCCAGGCTACTAAAAGGTGCAAGGTAGAAGCAAAATCATGGCTGAGTGCCTGCATGCACCAAAGGAAGCCAGCATTGCCCAGTGGGCAGACCTCGTGGCAGGTTTACTTATAAAGGAGATGGAGTAGACCCTGCTCAGAGTGGGACAGCACTTCACCCCTGCTGAGTGCCAGTTCCACGCCTTTTGCCCTGCAGGAAGGGGCAGGGTGAAGGAGATGGGATCTTGGGCCAGCACACCTCTGTCTTGGTTCCTGTCTCCCCCATGCCCATACCTGTGCACACACACCAACTCACACACATGTGGGTCATGAGAGTTCCTGGGGTCTCTGAACATGAGCAATGATCAGGCCTTTGGCTGGTATGCCATGTGCGTCCTGGGCAAGGAAAGGCCAGCTCTTCCCCCTTCGGCATGGTGCTAGGGCATGGGGCAACCCAAGGAACCAGAACCAAAGGTGCCCCTCCCTGGGGGAAGATGCTGACCAAGCCTGTCCAGGGAGAAACCCTATACTAGAGCTGTAGAGTAAGGATTCTGTCACCCTGTGGCAGCCATGGGTAGGAGGCATGGTGGAAATGGCTTTACAAGCCCTCCCGTGTTGCCTGTTTGAAGTGCCTGGGTAGGCTCTCACCAGAGGCAGGCCTGCGCCCAAGGGCAGCCCTTCTCATCAGAAAGGTTCCAGGGGTGAGGGGTGGTCAGCCAGCAGGACCCTGGGCCTCCCTGCAGGCTCGGTGTCTGTGCTTATCCTGACTCCTGCCACCACTTGGTTAACCAGTGAACAAAACCTGAGACATAGGACCTCCAGCTGTTTGAACTTGGTAAGGCTTCTCACCTCCCAACCTCGGTGTTCTGAACTGTGAAGTGGATAGTGAAGGGATCTGCTCCCAGCAGTTGTGAATCTGAAGGAAGAGTTCCGTGCGGTGCACGCCTGTGCTCAACAAGGCCTGTCTGCATCTCTCCCCAGCATGCTCTCCTCTGGTTCACTAGGAGAGCAGGCCCAATGGAGGCCAGCAGCTGCAGGGCTGCACAGCCCTGTCTGGACGCTCACGGCCCATCCCAGCTCTCCTCATCACCCACCAGGATTGGCTACATCATTTGTGAGGCTCTGGAGAATGAAGATGTGGGCCCCTTTTTCTAGAATTATAAGGGATTTCAAGACAATGACATCAGAGCATTAAACCAGGCATGGGGCCCTCTGGGGCTGCTGGGGCTACCCCGCCTAAGGCCAGATCAACTCCCACGTCCTCAGTTCCCCAGTCTTGAACCATGTGTTTTTCCATCTAAAGTGTTTGTGACAAGGAGAAGCATTAAGGCGTCCATGCCCTCCTGCAGAGACCACCTGGGAGGCATTTTAAGTGCATTTACGTCTGTTTCTGCTCACAATCATCACCCCACCCACAAATCCCTTTTGGCAGCAACAGCCTGGGCCCCACACAGATCCTGTTGGGCTGGGTTCTGGGAGGGGAGAGTAGCAGGGCTGATTCTCCCCTGCACATGTGGTCTGTGTGGTGGGGACTGGACCAGCTAGGGGGTGGGAGCTCTTGGGGGGTAGCCGCCCTACCTCCCAGCCCATGGGCCACAGAAAGTGCATTCACTCAAGGGACCCCCAGAGGAGAGGCCCTCTTCTGAGTCTGCTCCTACCTGCCTGTAAGGTAGGATGCTCAGGGCAGAGGGCCTCCCCTGACAGACACACTGCTCTTCTGCAGCCCCCCATGTCACTAGAGCCACCCTGCAAGGCCCTCCCCACAGCATGGCTCCAAGGGCAGTGGCTCTCAGATAGCTGGCCAGAACAGGGATGTATGTGCCCACAGAAGCAGCAGAAGTTGTGTTGCCTCCTCCGACATAAGCTTCATTGTCATGCAGTGTCACCTCACTGGTACTCTGGTGGCAAGAATACAGACCCCACCTCTCCGTGGAGGGGTCAGTCATGCTCCTGGTGGGAAGTGGCTGCCAGACCCCATCAGGGACTCGTCCACAGCAGTCACAGGGAGCTCTCCTGTCTTTGTCTCAAGAGCCATAATGAGTTGTGATTAGGGTTCTCTTTGGTCCCCCCACCCTAAGGAGAGTGTGGGTGCTTCTCCCAGGAAGTACAAGCCCCCAGAGTGGATCCTAGCTGTGCAGGGACCCACAGAGGACCTGCCAGCCAAGGCCCATCACTAGCCCAGCTTGCCCAAGGTCTGTCTCTGAGCAGGTGCATCGGCTGCCCTTTCACAGGGAGCAGCTGTGGCCCTTTGGGGCTAACACAGCCCTCTGAGCTGCCTACCTGTGCCTGCCAGGATCAGCTCCTAAATCCCAGAGACTGGCCCTAAGTGCTTCTTGTGGGTTGTGGGGGTGCCTGCATCCTCTCATCCAGTGGGGAGGCTGTGAGGAGAGGAAGGTGGCATTCAACCACAGTTACACCTGGGCAACCCCTGTCCTTGGTTGCTGCCAATGAGAGTCCAGTGTTGGTGAGGCATGTTCTCAGCACTTCCTCCCTGGAATTCCCCAGTGGACTTCTTCTTCATGGGGCTCCACTAGCTGCCTCCCCGTCACGTGGCAGGTGGTATGACACTCTGGAGGGATTCCTCCTGCAAGAAGGCCAAGGCACAGGACCAGGCTCAGGGCAGCTCCTTGGAAGTCCTATTTTGCCCCTCCCTGAACTGCACTCGCCAGGACTGAGTAATTCTAGGTCCCACTCCGGGGACTGCTGTGCTCTGGAGGGTCTTTCCAAACATCTGGAGGGCCAGCATAGTGGGCGTCACTCGCTTCTCTCCATTCTGGGTTTAGGGTGGTGTGTGCAGGACTGGCCCTTTGACTGTAACCAGAACATCCCTCTCTCCCCCTCCCCTTTCCTCCTTTCTCTTTATCCCCCTCTCTCCTCCTCCTTGTCCTCCTCTCCCTCCCTCTTCTCCTTGCTCCTTTGCCCCTGTCTGGCTTGGCAGCACCCACACTGGAGTGGGCAGAACCAAATGCCTACTTCCTCTGAGTTGCCATTCCCAGCCTGGCTGCCTTTTGAAGTTGCCCTTGGGAGACATACAGTGCAAGTAGCTGTCCAGTTTTCTTACTTTTTACCACTTTGAGATTCAAAAGGTGTTACCTGTTCCCACCACCTAACTCCAGGTAGCACTTGATTATTTCCCACACCCAGGCATGTCCTTAGGGACCCAACAGCCCCTGAGATGTCCTCCCACTGGTACAGACTGGACGGGCCACTCACCCTGATGGCTGCAAGGGAGGTGGAGATCTAGGTGGAAACACTGATTGAAAAGATAAATTGGTTACACACAAGTACAGTACTTCTGATGTTTGCTCTGTTTGTTGGTATTTTTTGTGCATTCTAGACTTTATTTGCAGGTTTTTAATGGTTTTATAGCTTTGCCTAATTATTTTTAAAATTCTTACTAATATTTTAAGCTTTTTATTATGAGAAGTGTTGGACACACACACAGTGAGCAGAGTGTTAGGAGAGTCTCCTGTGTGGGTTCTCCCAGTGCAGCTGTGGTCAGCTTCCCCAACCTCATGGTGTCCACAACCAGACCCCTAGCAAGCCAGCTTTTTAGGGACAGTGTATGTAGGTTAAATGCACAATGTATGCAACAATGCTATACATTGTTGGCTAACGGAGTGCCTGTGTGACCCACGCCACTGTCCGGACATTGAGACTATAATCCTGGAACAAGCACTCCTGCCCTTTGCAGGCTTGTAGCCAGTCTGATTTCTATCACCTAAAGCCAGTCCAGAAACATGCTGTCTGTATTCTTTTGTGCCCAGCTGCCCCTTCTTGGCAGGATGTCTAAGGTCCATTCAGGTTGTGGTGTCAATCTGTCAGTCCGTAGTTTATCCCTCACTGCTGTGTTGGATTCCATGGTGGGATATCCACTGTTTGCTCACCCATCCACTTGCTGAAGTAGACCTGGGCTCTTCCCTGGCTGTGTGAATGGCCTTGCCATTTGTGAATAAGCCATTTGAGGGGCATATGTTTTCATTTCATGGATAAATGGAGTGGAATTTCTGGGTCATATGAGAGGAGGGTGTTTAACTTCAGATAAAGATTTGTTATTTGCTTGTAAAGTGCTCTGTACCCTTTTGGTGGCTGTTAGCTGCCCTGATTGTCTGGCAGCATCTTGCATACTTGAAAGCTCTGCTCCAGGTGATTTATTTAGAAGCCTGTTTATGAGCGCCCAGCTCCGTGTGACTCACTTCTTCAGGCACTAGAGAATAATCTTGCAACTATTTTACACTGCCTCCTCTTTCTATTCCAGAGCAGTGCATTTTCAGTTTGTGTTTAGTTATACAAATAATTGTGTTGATGTTCTTAGGACTACTGATGAGAAAGTCCTACTTAGATCGGAATTTTAAATTACTGAACTTTTTGTCCACAAAGAAGCTTATATCAAAATGTGGAATAAGGCCCCAGGGATGTGGGTCTGCCTAGAAGGCCTCTCTGGGCCCTGTCATTACCCCTCTCTTACCTGCTTCCCTGCTCCCTGCTCCCTGCAGCACCACTGGGACTCTACTTCACCAGGGATGCTTACTGGGAGAAGCTGTATGTGGGCCAGCCAGCTGGCATGCCCCTGCTCTATGTGCACGCCCTTCGGGACATCCCTGAGGAGGTGCCCAGCTTCCGCCTGGGCCCACACCTCTACGGCAGCGCTTACCGCACACGGCTGCATGAGAACGACTGGATCCTCATCCAGGAGGACACGGGCCTTCTCTACCTTAACCGGAGCCTGGACCCCAACTCCTGGGAGAAGCTCAGCATGCGCAGTAAGGGAGAAGCCCCAACCCACCCTCCCCCACCCCAGGTCACACTGAGGCTCCAGGGTGGCTTCCCCTTTGACTCTGCTGTGTAAGAGTGGAAGGGACAAGAGGAGGTTGGCCTGCCTCTGTGTCCAGCCTGCTGGGATGAGCTTGGGGGCCTCTGATGACTCTTGTGCTTTCTGAGGCTGTCGGGATTTTGGAGAATCCACATGAAGGATTTGGGGGCTCTCTCCATGCTGGACCAGATGCCTTTTCCAGTTGGGTGAACATGGATTTGGGGGTTGTAAGAGAGGAGTTAAGAGGGGGTGGAAAAATCTCAAGATTCTGATTTAACAAATGATTTGGAACTTGCTGGAGAAGCAGCAGTTCTCACAGAAAGCCTGTCTTACCATCAGCAGCGAGCTGCCCTTAGAGCAGAAAGAAGACCTGGCCATCTCCTCAGAGCAGGGGTGAGAGCCAGAGGGACGGCCACGTGTGACCCTGGTACTGGGGTGCGTGGAGCAGAGTGATGCCTTGGGGCATGAGGTGCTCGCACACCCAGTCGCCCCCCACCCGCCAAGCCCTGAGCACCTTTCCCAAAGACATAGCCTCACTGGACCTTCATACTAGCCCTGAGCCCCCTTGTGCAGGCAAGCGGCAGGCAGCATGCCTGTGAATGCAAAGTGGGGGGACACCACCCAGCAGGGGCAGAATGACTTGCACCCTGGGTCACACGATGGGGTCCCCAACCAGGGCACCCCAGATAGTTCCCAGAGGAGGTGGATCTGAAGTGGGTTTTGGACCCACACACATACTTAGTTGCTGCTGTCCTCATCCCAATCCCCCAGAACTTGAAGAAGTAGGGTTTCTGGGGTGGAGGTCAGAGTGGAATTTGCTGGGGGTCCATGTTTCATAGGAAGTCTATTCTGTTCATGACTAGAGAACCACCTCAGGCACCTGTTGGATCCAGTCGAGAGAAGCCACACAGTAATTTGAACGGGGACTGTTTGAATAGAGAATTACTAACTGTAAGGGGGTTGGAGCAATGGAAGAGAGGCTAGTAAAAAAGAGAACTCTAATGAATGTGGGAAGAGCACACAGGAGCAGCCACCACCAACAGGGCCAAGAGAGGAGCCAGGAAGGTCCCCCACCCAGCTGAGAGCCAGCCAGAACTCCCTGGAGACAGCATCCCAGTGGTGCCTCCATGGTGGAGTTTACTGGAAACCTCCCTCCAGGTGCTGGGGAGGCCCGTCCCCTGGGTGCATCTCTGCAGTGACAGTGCCTGGGGGTCATGTGGAGGTGGAAGTCGGCTGGGGGAGCTCTCCTGGGCTTAGACCTGGGTCTCAGGGTGCCTGAAAAGGGAGTATTGGTGCTGAGACCTGAACAAGAAAGGTGGCCTGTGAAGCACCTCCAGGAGAGGAAGCAGAAGCCATGAAACAGGGACAGACCCCAGGTCCAGGGCAGTGGGGGGCCAGCGGGAGGTAATGAGCCAGGACAGAGGGCTCAGTGGACCACAGTGAGGATGAACGGGACTGTGCTTTGGCCCCCAAGCCCCTGTTCCCTCCCCTCCCAGGGCTGTTCCCCACCACCCAGCCATTGGCTGATGCCCCACCGGGCCTGCCCTCTCTCTCTGCAGATGGCGGCTACCCTCTGCTCACCATCTACCTCCAGGTCTTCCTGTCACCCACGTCCCTGCGAGAGGGCGAGTGCCAGTGGCCAGGCTGTGCCCGCGTGTACTTCTCCTTCATCAACACCTCCTTCCCGGCTTGTGGCTCCCTCAAACCCCGGGAGCTCTGCTTCCCTGAGACAGGCCTGTCCTTTCGCATTCGGGAGAACCGGCCTCCTGGCACCTTCTATCAATTCCGCCTGCTGCCTGTGCACTTCTTCTGCCCCAACGTCAGTGTGGCCTACAGGCTCCTGGGAGGTGAGTGCTGGCCTCATGGGGCCCTTCCTTGGTGCCTGCTGTGTGCTAGGCACAGCACTGAAAGTCCTCAGCATGAGCCATCTGGTTTGCTCCACACCACCATGCCATCCATTTATTTAATGTTCCAGAAATATCATACGTCCTAGGGGCTGAGGATGTGACGGCAAAGTAGGGTGAAGGTCCTGCCTGCCTGGACCTTCCATTGCCATGGGAGATGGATACCACACATGTGCTAAGGAAATGGGGTGGCCTCTGGAAAGTGCTAGATGGGAAGTAATGCCAAGAGGACATAGATCGGTATAGATCACTGTCTTCAATCAGGTGGCTAGGGGAAGGGCACAAGAGCAGGGTGGGAGGACACCAGGCAAGCAGGGCCAGCCCCTTTGAGAGCACTGAGGTGGGATCCCCTTGTAGCTGGTGTGCACTGAGCAGCGAGATAGGATGGAGCCCAATGAGGGCAGAGAAGATTCTGAGGAGGGGGCAGGGCTTCCCATTGAGGAACTGTGGAGTCACGGAAAGCTGGGGGACAGTATGACCAAGTTCTGGCTTACCTTTAAAGAATTAACCTAGCTGCTGTCCTTTAGCAATTTTTTGTCCTTTTAGGAATGATGTGGTGAGGGCAGTTTAGGGTGGAAGCAGGTAAATAACTAGGAATGTGCACGAGAAATCCCTTGGGCAAGAGGATAAGGACCGGGAAGAGGGCGGAAGCCACTGGGCAACAAGATGCGGGCAGCTTCTGGACATGTTCGGAAGGAAGACGTGGTAGGATTTGCACGAGAGTGGGATGTGGGGTGTTGAGGGAAACAGGGGAGCAAGCATTGTTACAGGATTCTGCCTGAGCAGCCACAAGGACAGCTGACCTTGCCATAAGATGACTAGCCTAGAGGTGGTCCTGGGGAGGTGAGAGGTGGGCAGGGGGAGTAGGGTCCTAGTGGAAATGAGAGAAGGCAGCTGAGCAGCCACGTGGGGGCACCATTAAACCATTTAAAGGCAATGAATGGGACTCACAGAGGCACAGGCGCTGCCCTGCTGCCATCTGGTTCACCACAGATTTGTCAGGCACACGCGGTACTAACATTAAAGACAATGTCAGTGAAGCAAGAAAGTAGTCACCACATCCCCCACCCGCACCCTGCGGCCTTTCATTGGCCCTGTGGGAGAAATAAGGTCTTTGTGCAAGATTGTCAGCAAAGCATATAGTTCAGCAGGTTGCCCTTTCTTGATAAAAACTACATAATTAAATTTTGTTGAACGCGTTTTTTGTAACCATAAACAATAGAGGGAAACATTATATGATAAACATTTCCCCCATATGTAATCCTCATGTGTGGCTCTGATGTGCAAGATGGGAGTTCCCACTGAGTGGAGCAGACGTAACCCTCTAATGGTTGGCTGTGTGGCATGGTCAGGGCTGACCTCCATCCCTGGGGCATGTCCCAGTTCCTGGTTTTTTTCTGGAGGATAAGTCCCAGGACAGGCTTGGGTTGAAGAGTGCACTGTGGTGACTGGTCCTCCCCTCAGCCACTCATAGGGAGATATGCGAGTCACTGAACATCCAGCCTGGTGAGGAGCAGCCCTGTTCGCCTTCATCATTCCATCTTCTGGTGGGGAAATAGGCAGAGAGAGGTATGAATGGCCAGTCTCAGGCCATACAAGCCAGGAGGCATGGAGTGGGGATGTGAACCAGGTAGTTGGAAACATTTGTGTTAATGTCAAATCATGTATCGCATATCTACCATGCTTGTTTTCAAGTGGTGGAATAGTGGCTTTATTTCTCATATTCTGAAAAAGGAGCACATACTACTTCCATAATGAAAAAGAAATTACTAACGTTATTTTCAAAGCCAGAAAATGCTGGGAGCTAGACCTCTGGGCCTGCAGGCTGGCTGAGTTGGTGCCCCCCGCCCCCACTGCCGAGGCAAGATGGGCAGAGGCCAACCACCGGCCCTCCTTGGTGCTCAGGATGAAGACCTGATGCAGGCCTTGTGGTCAGTCCCTGGTCTTCCGTATGAGGACCGCTAATGCTGCAGCCACAGTAAAGCCCCTTAGCGCGTCGCTGCTGCTGCAGACTGGGCTGGGAGCGCTGCGCCCCCACTGCTGCCCGAACGGAGTGCAAGCCACTCTGACCTAAGAGCCCCTGCCCGTGCCGCCACTCCCGCTGATCCCTTGAGGGAGGCAGCTCGCCCTGCCTCGGGTCACGCGGGGCTCCTGGTGTGCTTGGTGCACAGGTGAGAGTCTGCCCTTCCGCTGCGCCGCGGACAGCCTGGAGGTGAGCGCGCGCTGGGCGCTGGACCGGGAACTCCGGGAGAAGTATGAGCTGGTGGCCGCGTGCACCGTGCGTGTCGGCCCGCGCGAGGAGGAGGTGATGGTGCCGTTCCCCGTGACCGTGTACGACGAAGACGACTCGGCGCCCACTTTCCTCGGGGGCTTGGACACCGCCAGCGCCACTGTGGAGTTCAAGCGGAAGGAGGTGCCTGTCTGCCCCCGTGCTCGTTCTGCTGTCTGTCGTCCTTTTATCTGTTCAGTGTCTGTGTCTCCGTCGATCATTTATTTGTTGGTGTATTCAGCTGGCCATCCAGCCATCCAACCCCATGGCTGACCGACCAACTAGTCCATCTGTCTGGTTGTTCTGCCTGCCTCTAGGGGCAGCTGAGGAGGAGAGGGGTGCTATCTCTGCCGGCATCCAGCTGGCCCCTGATGCAGAGGCTCAGGGCCCTGAGGTTGCAGCCTGTGTCTGAAGGGGCGTCGAGGCCCCGGGGAGAGTCTGGGGGCACACCTGTCCCACTGTGCGCAGGCACCTCATGCTGCCCCTAGGAGGGGAACAGGACCTGACTGCCGGGAGGCCAGTCCTTCCACCAATGTCAGCCCTCAGGAGAGCCACTGAGGTTCAAGGAGCCAGAAAGGCAGGCAGGTAGATCGGCTGGGATCTCTAGATGGCACCCTGCTCCTCTCTGGTAGCAGAGGTGGGGCATGACTGCCACCTTCAGGGCCTCTGGCCTTCCTGCAGGCAGTGGCCAGCCGTGCAATGGGAGGATAGGGGTGTAGCTGGTCTGTCTTTGCCTGCCTTTCTGGGCACCCACAGTGCAGGTTTGGTGGATGGGCAGGCGAGAGGAAAGCATATCTTGTGGGTCACATGAGCCTGGAAGGGCTGCCTGGGATGACAGCAAGGAGCCTGGTTATCCCAGAAAGCAGAGGTGCCTTGTGACTTTGCTCTGAACCTTTCTCATGATCCCCTCCAGCCTGGTATGTGGAAGATGCTTGGAGAGAAAGTTCTGGTGTACACCTGGGCTTGGACCTGCCCCAACCCCCTCCCACCAAACCCCTGCTCTTGCTATGTGATAAGTGGCTAGCACCTCCACCCTGTGAGGCCTAGACTCCTCAGGGGAGAGTAGGGGTGCTTGCTCTGCCCTTTGGGGACCTGGATGAGGCCTGTCAGTAGAGCACCAGGGCATCTGATCTAATCCATCCTTACAGGAAGCCTGTGCGTGCCTATCACACTGTTGCACAGGTGAGGCCCAGTGGGAAGGGGCCCCATGGGAACTTGAACCCAGGTCAGTCCATCCCTGCAGCCAGCTCTCAGTGCACACTTGGTCTACCTGTGGGACACAGGCCCTTCCAGTCTGTGAGCTGCAGGTACTCTGAGATGTCCCTCTCACCAGCTCTGATTCGTGCCTGCTATTCTCTGCAGGGCACCGTGGTGGCCACAATACGTGTCTTCGATGCGGATGTGGTGCCAGCATCTGGGGAACTTCTCAGGCGGTACACAAGCACACTGCTCCCTGGGGACACCTGGGCCCTCCAAACCTTCCGTGTGGAGCACTCACCCAACGAGACCTTAGTCCAGGCCAATGACAGCTTTGTGCGGGCAACCATTCATGACTACAGTAAGAGGGGCTGGGCCTGGCCTGGCTGGGGCCCCCTGGGGAACTAGCTGCCCTCTTTATGGGAGGTCAGCATCCTGCACACGCAGACACCTGTCCTCATGCTGGGGCCTGTGGAGTCCAGGTGCTCCACTAGAGGCTGCTGCTGTCCAGGAGTTCTTGGGGGGACTGGGGGCCAGCACAGTCTTCCCAAGCAAGGCCACAGGGTGGTGAGTTTTACTTTGTGTGTGCCCACTGCCCCTCATACCACATCCCCATACATATACCCCACATACATGACACACACATACTCCACACACACATCATACAAAACACACATACACATACCACACACATACACACACACACACACGCCAGGTTGTTACCTCCAAGCCGAGAAGGTTCTCTGGGCTTCCAGCTCAGCACAACTACTAATATTTAAGCAGTGGTTCTAATTTAGCACCACCTGCCAGGTCTGTTATCTATGCAAAAGTGCATGAAAGTACATGTTTGCACATGCGTGTGAACGTGCAGAGTACACAGCTGGGGGAAGGCTCGAGGTGGCACAGGGCACTGGTCCAGGACTGAGCAGCTAGTCATCACTGTGTCCCACCCACAGAGCTGGTTCTCAACCGGAGCCTTCCCATCTCCGAGGGCCGTGCCCTGCAGCTGACAGTGCTGGTCAACGACTCGGACTTCCAGGGCCCAGGGGAGGGTGTCCTCCTCCTCCATTTCAATGTGTCCGTGCTGCCAGTCAGCCTGAGCCTGCCCAGTGCCTACTCATTCACTGTGAGCAGGCGGGCCCACCGCTTTGCCCAGGTGAGCTGTGGCCCACTGCCTGCCTGGGGAGGGGCATGGAGTTGCAGGGAACCCAAAGGTGGGGTGCTCCATTCAGCAGATTACAAACAGGGCTGGGGAATGTCAGCGCCCTGGCCTAACAAGTATGTGGAGTGGCCCAGGGGAGCCATGGGCACAGGGCCAGGGAGCCTGGGGCTGGGGAAAGTGGGAGAATCATGTGGGCAGGGCTGGTGGGCAGCATACACCTGTTTTAACCTCTCCCTTCTTGGTGTCTTTAAAAGATGCTTTAAAAGGTAAGAGGAACACTAGGTAAACCTCTGTATGCTGACTTGGAAAGAATTTCCTGATGGACTGTTAAGTGAAAAAGTGGTTTGTAGAAGTACTGGTCTCACGTATCTCCATGTGTTCAAACTAAATCTTCACTGATGGGAATTTGCACGTATGTAAAATACAGGCAGTGATTGACAGTGGCACCCCTTGGAGGAAAGGTCGGAAGTGCTTCACTTAATGCCAGTGTGTTCACTAGAGCTTACCATGTTTGTCTTTGGGGAAAAATAAAAGTAATCAGTATTGGTTAAAGAAAATGAGGGACGGGAAGGAGTGATCCCTTCTCCCCATCCCAACCAGTGGTTAGCATTTTTGGTGCAGTGGTTTCTAGAATGTTTCTCTTAAAGACTTCTGTAATTTTACTTGCATGCATATGATTTAACATACTGCTTTCCTCCAGTGGAACAGCTATGGGTATACATCCTCCTTAGAATGTCATGTTTAGAACTGTATCCGGTTGTCCCAGTGAGTCTTCCAGTTTCTGTGCTTGGTTGCCATGCCCCTTCCACTCCTGGCAGCCACCTGGGTCCAGCACATGAAGGACCCCACCTTTGGCATAGCCAAGCTCCCTGACCCACCACCTAGTCCTGGGCTTTCAGGGAGGTGAAGGTCAAGGATGGTGAGGGGTGACAAGGCAGAGAAGCCTGAGGGATGTCTGAGGAGGTGAGAGGGAGCAGGCACTGCTGGAGGTGGGTCACCTGCACCCCACAGATTCAGGAGGCCACAGGGACCAGAGTCCTTATCCAGCCTCATACTCACTATGGCCTCTCACCTCCTTCTCAGTTGTTATGATTGTAAATTGAGGATAGCGACCTTGTGCTGTTTTGAGGGTCACACAGACAGTGGAAATGAGCCTGCTTTTTGTGAAGAAGGCCGCCACTGTCAGGTGTAGGCTTGGGAGACCTGGCTGTGCCCTGGGCCTGAGCAGGGCTGAGCTAGGATCTGCTGTATGTCTGCAAGCAGGGCCTCTCCTTACTCTGCCTCCCACCCCCACCTTGACTAGTTGCAGTGCCTGGTTTCAAGCTGCTGAAACCCTAATTCTAACTCCAATGACTGAAGGGTAAAAAAGGAGAGTTCACCTGGCCAGCTCCAGGCCAGCAATGGTGCTGCTAGCCTAGCATCTCCTCTTTTCCAGGGACTCCAGCCAAAGTCCCAGGAAGGCTTCCTGGGGCCCATGACAGGCAACTACACTGCATGAGTCGTGTGGCCTGAGAACTGGTGGTTCCAATAACAAACTTGGCCTGACTGGGAGAATCAAGGGAGGCACATAGAAGGGATCCTAATGGTCTTTGTGCCTGAATGAGTGAGCAAGTGGGAAAGGGCTTGGTGCATCAGTCCCTCTCCAGAGGACCTGCCACTAACCCAAACCTCAGTGTCCCTGAGTTCTTTCACCTACAGCTCCTGGGAGGAAGAGGACACACGGTGGTGATGGCCTGGGCCAGGCAGGGCCTACAAGGATGGGTCTGCAGGTTCCAGGGGCATGGAGGACATCTCCAGGCCAAATAAGGGAGTGCCTGGGACTAGAGCTGCCTGGGAGCCCCTCCAGCCACCATCAGGGTCAGGCCAACCACCTAGCTAAGGCCTTCCCTGTGCTCACGCCTAGATTGGGAAAGTCTGTGTGGAGCACTGCCAGGAGTTCAGCGGCATTCACGTGCAGTACAAGCTGCAGCCTTCCAGCACCAACTGCAGTGCCCTGGGGATGGTCACCTCAGCCGAGGACACCATGGGGACCCTGTTTGTGAATGACACAGAGGCCCTGCGGCGGCTCGAGTGTGTCCAACTCCAGTACATGGTGGTGGCTGCTGACCGGCCGACTCGCAAGCAAGCCCAGGCCCTGCTGCTGGTCACTGTGGAGGGGATGTGTGAGTGCTGGGACTCCATGGAGGTTGGGTGGTGGGGTGTGGTAGAGCCTTGGGCTTGCCCCCATGGAAAGCACTGGTCCTGTTTGCCTCACCTACTGGTAGCCTCTCTGGGCCTGCATCCGCTCCCTGTGAGATGGGGTTAACAGTGCGCGTTGCGCAGCTGAGCCAGCAGTACCCCAGGGGAAGTATGGAATGGCTTAACGGCTTGTGACTGTAGGAAATGGTTGCAACTTGCCAACACCAATGTTAATACATTCTGTACATGCACTTGCCTTAGGGCTGCTGGATGAAATACAGCTTCCTGGTTAAATTTGAATTTTTGGTAAAGCAATGTTTTGGTGTGTGCCTCATGCAACCTTTGTAGAGTCTCCTAAAAGACCAGCTCTCAAGTATATAAACGTAGTATCAGGCACATACTTAGGCAAAGCAAGTATTCACTGTTTATGTGAAATTCAGGCTTAATGGGGCCTTCTGTATGCTGTTGACTCAGCCTGGCCACCTCACATGCTCCCTCTACTTATGCCAGCCCAGTAGCTGACCCTGCTCTGTGACTCTGGTGCCCCCCTTCCCAGAGGGCCCCATCACTGCCCTGTACTCTGAAGCTGAGTTGCCCTCATCCCTCTGGGCTCTATTGTTTGGGGCAGCTGAGCCAGTGCCCCTGTCTATGGGTGCTGGCTGGACGGGTGCAGCTCTGTGACCTGCTTCCTGCCACCCCCAGACACAGCTGAGGAGCCAGGCTGCCCCTTGTCCTGCGCAGTCAGCAAGAGGCGGCCCGAGTGTGAGGAGTGTGGTGGCCTGGGCTCCCTGACGGGCAGGTGCGAGTGGAGACAGGGAGATGGCAAAGGTAGGTTCCACACAGAGTCACGGGCCTGTGGCCAGGCAGTCCAGAGGGTAATGGTGCCTGAGTGGGAATGGGGTCCATGTGGGCCCAGTGGGCCTCCGTGTTGGCCCTCTGCACTCCAAATCTGTTCCCCAGAGCCTGTCCCCATCGTGTTTCCTGATGTCAGGAAGGCTGGGCATGAGTATGGTGCGGGCATTCAGGCTGCTGATTGCGTGGGACCACAGGTGGCTGAGGCTGGACTCCCTTTGGGCTGGGAAGGTCTGGGTCAAAGCTGCAGTGTGCAGGGAACAGAGATGCTCAACCTGGTGGTGCAGGCCAGGGGCTGTAGCCTGGACAGGAGGAGCCTGAGCTGGCTTAGGTGTAGAAAGCAGCCAACTCCAAGCCACGCCCATCACAGGGCCCCACTAACATTCCCCTGCTCAGGCCTCATTTGCTCCTCTTTCTGGGTGCCAGGGTGCTGCCCTCCTGGCTCTGGTAGTGTGCCTGGGGCGGGCACTCCTGCAAGGCTCTGACCAGCCACTGTGTCATAGGGATCAGCAGGAACTTCTCCACCTGCTCTCCCAGCATCAAGACCTGCCCTGATGGCCACTGTGACGCTGTGGAAAGCCGAGATGCTAATGTCTGCCCCCAGGACTGCCTCCGTAAGCAGCTGCCTGCCCAGCTGAGCTGGGGCCGTGATAGGGCTGGGCAGGAGGGCAGCCAGTTGAGAGCCACTTCCACCAGACAGTCTGTGTTCCTGGGTTTTATGTGCTGAGTTTCTAACATTTCAACAAAGATCTCCACCCCATCCCAAGCTGGTACCCTGATCCATGCTTCCCAGTGTCACCCTGGCCAACCATGAGGGTGCAGCTCCCCACCCCCATTCTGGTGGCTCCCCGCCACCCCTCCTGCCCCTTCTGCTTCTGGAAAGTAACCAGAGGTGGACTCAGCAAGGGCCCCAGGCAGCCCAAGGGTCCCTCCCTGCCCACCGTGGCCAGGGAATGCCCGTCCTGAGACCCCTGCCCTCCCCAGGCCTGAGTGTGCAGATACCAGATGGGGAGGGGCTCACCTCGCACACTCCTGTCCACGTGGTCGTGGCTTCTCAGGGTACCCCAGGGACTGAGTGGGCTGCTGAGTGGCGGCATATGTCATCAGGGGGCGGCAGCATCATTGGAGGGCACGAGCCAGGAGAACGCCGGGGGATTAAAGCTGGCCATGGGATCTGCAACTGCTTCCCGGAGGAGAGGAAGTGCTTCTGTGAGCCAGAAGACAGCCAGGGTGAGAGGGTGGGGGGCATGGGCCCCCACTCAGCAGGGTTTCCCACACCTCCCTGAGCCTCAGGGAGCCAGGGAGGAAGTTTCAGGGAGGCAGGTGGAACCCAAGAGGCCCTCCTTCCCTCTGGGCCTTAGTTCCGCAAACTTGTGCAGACAGGGAGCTGGGTCAGGGCCCCTATTGAGGGCTTTTGGCTCAAAGTTCTACGATAAAGACTGGGCTGAAAGGTTAGTTCTTTGGCCAAATAGCTCCATGCCTGCTTGGATTGTCGCTGTGTGGGGTCTTGGCTGCAACCATGGTACTGTTCAGCTGGGACCCCACCCTCCCAGCCAGACCTTCACCCCACCACCCCTATGCTTTTTTTGAGGCAGTAGTTGTGGTGGGCTGCTCAGGCCCCACTGAGCACAGGGGAGCTTTCCTGCCTCAGCCTAGGGACTCTTGTGGTATTTGAGTTGTCATTATATAACCCTAGGTACTCAGCTACTTTCCTACCTTCCCCACTTTTTAAAAAAACATGACAGGAACACAGGAAGTTCAGCTCCCTACAGCCTGCCAGGGCCACTGGCTTCCGTGTAGCCACGGCTGGTGCAGTGGAGCACAGCTTCTGCTGTGGGACCTTGGACTGGCTGCTTAAACTCTCTGTGCCTCTCGCTCCTTCTGTAAGAGGGTGCCACTATCCCCGACAGGGAAAATGCACCTAAGGGTGCAGCGTGGTCAGTGCTGGGGTGTTTGAGGTCATTCTGGAACATTCATACCAGCAGCACTTGCCAGGCTGCTCGGAGCCTGTCACAGCATCTTCCCAGCTGCCATGTGCCGGACAAGCTCCTGTTAGGGAGCCCCTCCCACAGTGCTGCCCCTCACGGCCACCCTGCCCACAGACCCACTGTGTGACGAGCTCTGCCGCACGGTGATCGCGGCCGCCGTGCTCTTCTCCTTCGTGGTCTCCATGCTGCTCTCCACCTTCTGCATCCACCGCTACCACAAGAATGCCCACAAGCCGCCCATTGCCTCTGCCGAGATGACCTTCCGCCGGCCAGCCCAGGCCTTCCCGGTCAGCTACTCCTCGTCAGGCACCCGCCGGCCCTCGCTAGACTCCATGGAGAACCAGGTGTCTGTGGATTCCTTCAAGATCCCGGTGAGGTTCCACGTGGAGCCTTGGGGCTGGGGCAGCTGGAGGTACAGAGGGGAGGGGTCTGCCTGCCACACTGTGCCCTATGGCTCACAAGCACCAGTGTGTCCTTGTCCGCCCAGATCATGCCATGAGCGTTCCAGCAATGCCCTGCCCTCACCCAGTCACCTTCCAGTTTAGTGGTGTGGAGACTGATGGGTCCTGATTTAGATGGACTGAGATGAGGCCATAAGGATACAGGGACCATGCTACAGACACCCAAGGGCCTGGGCTGTAGGATGTCAGCTCCTTGCGGGCCTGGTGTCCAAAGTGGAGGCAGCACCAAAAGGCTTGGGCCTGACTCTTAGGGAAGAGGCCATGTTCTTATTTGAGCACCTGTGGGTGCTGAGTGACCCCTAAATCCCCCCCATTTAAGGGATGAGGACAGGGGTATGGGGTGGCCTAGGGAATGTTCCATAGATGGGGGACCAATGAGGGTCTGGGCATCCAGAGTCCAGGCCATTCTGTGGCAACACCTGCCTTCCCATAGGGAAAACCCATCATGTGACAGTACCTTGGGGCCTGAATGTGGGATCCCACCCTCGGTTGAGGTGGGTAGCCATTGCTTCCTGGTTTGGGTGACAGACAACCGCCTGCATGCAGGGGCTCATTGATGGGTCTTGCATTCTTTCTTGCTGCTTACCCTTACCATCTTTCTCCCCTTTCTTCTTCTCTCCCTTCCCTCAACCCCAATGTAGGAGGATCCAAAGTGGGAATTCCCTCGTAAGAACCTGGTTCTTGGAAAAACTCTGGGAGAAGGTGAATTTGGAAAAGTGGTCAAGGCAACGGCCTTCCGGCTGAAAGGCAAAGCAGGGTACACCACCGTGGCCGTGAAGATGCTGAAAGGTACTGTGGAGGCAGCACCCAGGGTGGCTGTCATGCACCTACAGAGCCCTAAGGGGTGGATAAAACCACCTGACAACTTGGCAGCCAGCCGGGGCCCCCCTGAAGCTCCCCCATTGCTGTTCTTGAGTGGCTGCATTCTGGGGATCCCGCCATGGGTGACGTGGGCCAAGGTGGTCCCTGGAGAAACAGAGTGAGGACTTTCCTCACTTGGAAGGTTCAGGAGAGGTGCTGCTTCTGCACCAATGTTGGGTCAAGATTCTAGTTTTTAAAACTTAGAAGCTCTTTGGTTTTGCACTGACAGCTCTCCTTACTCCAGTCTATCTCCTTCATTCCTCTCAGCCCATGTCCACTGGGGTCCTGATGAAGAGCCCACCTAAGGACTGGCCTCTGCCCCTGGGCCCTGCCTTGCCCAATCCCTGGTGCCCCAGCAGGTCTGCCCCACCCTGTGATGAGTTTGACTCAGAATGGGCACATGCGCACACATGTATATACATGCACATGCCCACACCCACACCCATGTGCACTGGTGTTGCTGAGCAGAGACTGAGCAGGTGGCCTCTGCCAAGGCCGAGCTCCAGCCCGAGTGTGCTCAGGGCCTAGCAGTGCTGTGGGTACAAGTTGGTAGTGCATGTGGGACTCTAGTGCAGCAGTCGTGAGGGAGTCCCACTCTGCAGGTACTTCTGGGTGCTGACACAGACCTCCACCTAGGGCTGGCCCATGCCCAGGAGACCCCAGGCCCTAAAGGGAGACCACTCCTGGGTCACCACACATGGACTCAGGTGCCTGACATCCCATCTGCCAGCTGTCCTCTCACTTCCAGACAAGTCTGCAGCCAGAGGACACAGCGTAGCACAGCTGGGCCTGGGTCTTGGGGCAGCTGACCCAGGAGGACTGTTTAGCCACAGCTTCTGAGTCAGGATACCTCTACCCCAGGCTCCTGGTGGGAGCCCAAGCACAGCCCTCTACTCTCATGGCACACATGCTCAGTGTGGTGAGAGGCCACTGTCCTGGAGTCTCATCCTAACCTCTCAGGGGCTCGCCCCCACTGTTGAATGCTTGGTCAGCAGGAGTTGGAGGTCAGGGTGTCCCCCTGCCTTCCCAGAGGGATTAATGGGGATGGTCTCCCCACACCACTGTCTTTGAAAGGTGGCAGTTGCAGGAAAACACCACTTACACAGCTCAACCCTGGGAGGGTTTCTATGGAAAGATCCTGCTTATGTGGAAGTTTGTTCCTTGGGACTCTTGTTTCCTGGAAGCAGATGAGCCTGTTGAACGTTCCACGGGCTAAGAGAAGCCCCAAGCAGCAGGGTCCTTGGGGGCCTTGTCTGAATCTGGGTGGGGCATCTGTAAAGTGGGGTGGGGTGATGTGGCCCAGCATGGTCACAGAAGGGGCTTCCAGAAGGGATCAGTATGCAGCCTGCTCTGTGTTTACATGCATTTCAGAGAACGCCTCCCCAAGCGAGCTGCGGGACCTTCTGTCAGAGTTCAACCTCCTGAAGCAGGTTAACCACCCGCATGTCATCAAGCTTTACGGGGCCTGTAGCCAGGATGGTAAGGCTGGCCAAGAGCAGACGGGCATCTGCCAGGTGCAGGCTGGGGGTCTCTGGGCTGCTCTGTTCTCCTTTGCCCCTTCCCCTTCCTCTCCTTCTCTGGCTGTGTTCTCCCAGCACACCACCCCTGGCTCTGGCCTCTCCTGTGTCAGTGGGGGCAGGATGGGGCACTGTGAGTGCTTCTGTGCTCCTCTGCTCTAAGCGTTCCCCAGGCCTGTGGACTACTCAGAGGTCTCTAGCAAGGTGACATCCTTGTTGTGGCAGCCACCTCCCCAAGGCAGGGAGTTCCCTAAATGGACTGTGCACCCCAGTTCCAGCTGCAGACTAGGTGTGCCATGACCTCCAGGTGGCCCCAGTCCCAGCCCTGCAAGGCAAAGCCATTGTCAACATTTTTCACATAAGGACCAAGGAGAGTGGCCTGGTTTGTTGGCTTTTCAAATCCACTGTACTGCTTGAGGGCCTCTCACTGTGTATGCCTTTGCGTGGGTGTTGGGGTGCTAAGAGGTGAGGGAGCAGGGACTCTGGTGTGTACCACCAAACCCAAGGCTGGGCCTAGAGCTGGCAGGAGTGGGGCCAGGGGCCTGGGAGGACCTAGACCCTCAGCCTCCCTCCCATGCCCAGCCTTTGCTGCAGCAGATCAAGGCTGTGGAAAGGCACAACATTCCAGCAGCTGGGCCATGCCTTGGGCCCCCTGGGAGAAGGTAGTACTTGGTCACCGAGGGAGCCAGCCTTGGCATGGGAGCAGAGGTGGAAGCAAGCATGTGAGCTGGGACCGAAACTCTGGGTCGGAAACACAGTCTTGTGCTGTGCAGAGCCCAGGCCACGTGCCACAGAGCAGGCCTCTGTCCATCTGCTGCCTGCTGGTAGAGTACAGAGGCCTGCCTGGGGCCCTACAGCTGCCCTGGTACCCCAGAAGCACACTGCTCAGAGATGGCCTGACTCGGCCACTGGGCCCTGCAGGCAGCCAGCCACAGGCCCCCTCTGCCCCCAGGGCCGCTACTGCTCATTGTGGAGTATGCCAAGTATGGCTCCCTGCGGGGCTTCCTCCGAGAGAGCCGCAAGGCAGGGCCCGGCTATGTCGGCAGTGCTGGCAGCCGCAACTCCAGCTATTTGGACAACCCTGAGGAACGGGCCCTGACCATGGGCGACCTCATCTCCTTTGCCTGGCAAATCTCCCGGGGGATGCGGTACCTGGCGGAGATGAAGGTATGTGCCGCCCCGGCCCAGCCCCCCACCCTGCTGGCTCTTGGGCCTGGGTTTCAGCCATTCTGCTGTTGTCTTCCTTCCAGCTTGTCCATCGGGACTTGGCAGCCAGAAATGTCCTGGTGGCCGAGGGGCGGAAGATGAAAATTTCAGATTTTGGCCTATCCCGAGATGTTTATGAAGAGGATTCCTATGTGAAGAGGAGCAAGGTGCCTGTGGGGTCCTGGCCTGGGGCTTCAAGGCTGGGTCAAGAGCAGCAGTCAAGGTGCCCACAGGGGTGAGGCAGGGCCCTCTGAATATCTGGTGAGGATACAGGAGACTTCTAGAGTCTGACCTTCCAGCCCTCATCCCCCAATACCGCGTCCTCATTGCAGAGGGCCTTCTGGGAGCAGGGCCCTCAGCTCCTGCTGCTTTTCATCACTATCACTTGAAGGTGACCTAATGCTCCAGAGAGAATTCTCTCCTCCACAGTTCTTCCTGCCACAGAATAAAAGGCCACCATGTAACTTTAGGTTTCTACGTAAGTTTGGCTCATTGCTCAAAAGAGACTAGAATAAACACACCCAAGCCTGGTGGTCATTCTTGGCGGAAGAGAATGAACCACTTTACAGGTGGGGGGTTCCCCTGGGACTGGGGCCTGGGAACCCCTAGCTGGGTGAGTTTGGAAAGTGCAAAGAGAGGCCCTGGAGACAGGATCCAGAGACACAGAATAGACATCTGACGCTTTCTCCAAGTCTCTGAAGTAGGTGGCCGAGCCTGTCTGGGGGAATCTGACTGTGGTTGTCATCCAGTTCCGTGGCCTTTGTCTTTCTCCTCTTGGTTCTGCTGCCCTCTAAGCCTGTCTCCTGCAGCCTCCCTGTGACAGACTGAACAGGGCCAGTTCACAAGACACTGAAAAGGCACAGCAGACCTGGCTTTCAGAACAGGCACTGTTCAAAAAAGAAAAACACACAAAGTGACTGCATTCACTCCAGCTTTGCTCCAAGGTTCGGGAGAAGCCTTTGTGTCACCACAGGCTGTGACCACAGTGTTCCCCTTCTTCTGGGGTTTCTGTTGTGACAGCCTGTTTCAGAGCTGCTGAAAGGAAAGTGGAAAGGGGTATGGACAGAGCCTTCCTGTTGACATACAGGCCCTCTAAGAAAGCACTGTGTAGAGAAGCACAAGGGCCCAGAGAGCACTGGCTACAGGCAGCGCTGTTATGAGCCCGGAAACAGCCACGCTTCATTAAGGACATGCATCCTAAAGAATGCTTTCAAGGAAAATGGATTGCAGTAATTGTAGCATTAAATCCAATGTGCACATATTTTGCTGACTTGTGCCTTAAGACTACCTATGGAAAGCCATTTCTCAAGGTGCAGTGGAAAGGGTTTTTTAGGTCTGACCCCAGCACCTCTTGTCAGAGGATGCTCAAAGGGCCCTGAGATAAAATGAGAGGGAAAAACCAGCCTCAAGGCACATATAGATGTCAGGGGTTCTTAGAAAAGCCTTTAGAATGTCAGTTTGTGTCAGAAGTCCCCAAAATGGAAATGCTAGATGTCGGTTTCCCAAATTCATTCATACTCAGAAATCAGGGCACATCTTGCTAGACAGTGTTGTTGGCCCACACATTGGGCATCACCATCCCAGGTGCCCCAGAGCTCTCTCGACCTGGCCATAGAGGGACCCACTTGGCTTGGTCTCCATTCCTTAGGTTTCTTATCAGCAAGGATGTGGTGCATGACAAGTACACCCTGTGTAGTTGGGGGCTGACCAGCTGACTCCCTCTGGCATGAGCCAGGCCTGGGAGAGCCAGAGGGGAGCCTCAGTCACCGAGGCTGTGCGACTGGTTCTGCACCTGCGAGCATTCTGCATGTGGCCACTCAGCAGCCTCTGAGCTGACAACACCTGGGACACTGGCCCAGCCCCCTCCACACCCCCCACTGCAGTTCCCTGGGTGTTAGAGCAACATTAATGCCTTTCTTTCACTCCCTCTTTAGGGGAGGATTCCAGTCAAATGGATGGCAATTGAGTCCCTCTTCGACCATATTTACACCACCCAAAGCGATGTGTAAGTGTGGGTGTTGCCTTCCTGGGGTGGAGGCTGCATGCATAGGATGCAGCTCAGCAGGGAAACAGCACTGGCCCCAAGTGCCTGTTGGCGCATACCAGCCATCCACAGCGACCCCCAAAACTGAGGGACTTCATGTATTCACTCAGCAAATGCACCAAGTCTGGGCAGTGGTTCTGAAAGTCGCAGTAGGAGTGGGTGAGAGCAGTAACTGCAAAAGACCTCCTCCCTTCTCTTCCCTTCCTCTCTACTCTCTCCTGCCCCTCTCTTCTATGGGCATCTTAATGACACACAGGCCCAGCCACACGGCTCCCCTCCTGGGAGCTGGGCTCTGGCAGCACCCCCACCCAGTCCCAGACCTTAGGCAGGGGTGGCCTTGAGGGAGGTTCTAGACAGGTGTGTCAAAAGTGCTCAAAGACAGGAACCAAAACTCTAATCTTCCAGGTCAAATGACAAGATCTGGTAGTTTTCAAAACAGACTTGTTTCTAAGTGTGCCATCAACAGACATGCTTATCTTTAATAATGGGCTGTGGAAAAGCAGTTCTTCAGCCGTTTTGAACAACTGTTCTCTAAGTACGAAGAAGACTGTAAGAAAATTGGAAAATGCCTAGAAAGGCATAATGAGGAGGCTAAAAGCCCCTTGGATCCCCCACCTGAGTAACCTGCTACTGGTCCTCACAGGCACGCCTTCCAATGTTTCCTCTGCTGTGCAGAGATACGCTTTTTGTCACTCCAAATGGGTTCATGTGATAGGGTTTTGTGACATGATTTTGTTCCCACTTCATAGTGTGTTTTCTCTCACAGTTAAAATTTTTCTTTAGCAGTGACTTTTTTTTCTTCTAATTTTCTATGAAGATTTCTGAGCACACAAGAAACATGAAGGAATTGTGCAGGTGGCCCGGGGCCCCTGGCCTAGGTCCCCACTTTGAGTTGTGCAGCACCTGCATGGCTGTGCTGTGCCATCTCTGATACCATCCCTGGTTGTCTCAGAGTTGCTGACACCGCCCCTGGGGTGGGGACCAAGCTCGGGCAGCGGCTTGGGAGATGGAGGTCTGGGCTGCTCAGAGGGGCCGCAGGCCCAGTGCAGCCACTTATAGGTCACATTGCTCCCTGCAGGTGGTCCTTCGGTGTCCTACTGTGGGAGATTGTGACTCTGGGAGGTAACCCCTACCCTGGGATTCCTCCGGAGCGGCTCTTCAACCTTCTGAAGACAGGCTACCGGATGGAGAGGCCCGACAACTGCAGCGAGGAAATGTGAGCAGGCTTTGCTTTGGCCCAGCCTCTTGTGGCCACAAATACATGCACTTTCCCATCCCCCTCTCCTGAGCAGCCCCATGCTAAGCCCAGGGTGAGCTGGGTAGTGGGTAGTGACAGGGCAGAGACAGAGAACCACCCTTGGGCATGATGGCAGAGGAAGGGCTCAGGGAGAGGTGGTGGGAAGTATGAGGGGGCCTCAGCCCAAGGCCTGATGTCCCTGCAGGACATTTGTGGAGGAGTTAGGGGGCGCATGCTGGGGAGGACTCAAATGGAGGTGCAGAGGCAGACGGGGCAGGCTGCGGTGCCTGGACCACAGCCTGAAGACAACAAAGTCTTCAGATGACTTGGAGATTGAGAGCACATGAGAAAGGAGCTGTCCACAGGCAGAGACACCCTGTCCATTCATTCCACAGTCTGTTGTGCGCCCAACTCAGGGCTACATGGGGTGAATAGGTGTCACCTCTCTGGGGGCCCTGGGTTGATAGCCAGCTGGCTCAACTCATTATACAGGGCAGCCCAGGAGGCCCTGCAGCCATGCCAGGCCCCAGGGAAGTGAGGAAGGGTTAAGAAGTTTCTGTCACTGGCAGAAGTTTCTGTCTTTCCATACCCAGTTCATCCTTCCTAAGTTTCGAGGACCGGCATTCTCTTCCCCCACCCAGCCGCTGTAGTGAGCATGGTATCCCATCAGCTGTTTACCAATGTCTTTGAAAGGGAAGTGCAAACAAAACTCACTCAAGGGAAGGGAAGCTTACAGGGTGCTGGACTACAGCACCAGGCACCCCAAGCTCCCAGGGACCCCTCAGACCCTGGCCCAACTCAGAGAAAGATACCAGTGATGCAGAAACACTTTGGAGTTTGGGAACAGAGCTCCCAGGGCCCAGGGCACTGTGCGGGGTGGTGGCTGAGATGCGGCAGCTGCTGCTCAGGCGAGACCACCCACATGTGCTTCCCACAGGTATGATCTGATGCTGCAGTGTTGGAAGCAGGAACCGGACAAGAGGCCAGTGTTTGCCGACATCAGCAAAGACCTGGAGAAGATGATGGTTAAGAACAGAGTGAGTATCTGGAGCTAATTCCTGTTGCTGGCCACCTACAAACTGAATATGCCAGTAGGGCTGGTGGGAGCCAGAGTCGGGGAGTGGGCAGGTCCAGCCTGACCCCAGGTTTATGGAATCACCAGTATAAGGGCAGAGTGAGGCTGTGCAGAGGGCAATGGTCATGCTTTCTGTCTCCTGAGGGCAGCCAGCAACCGGACCTTTCTCCCTGAGCCAGGCCCTTGTGCTTCTTTTTAAGCCATGAAGCAACCAAGATTCTTACCTTGACACTTAGGAAGAGCTCTCCTCAGACAGGCATGGGAAGAAAATATTCTAAAGCCATATAAAATCATTTTCAATAATGTAACATGAGAAAGTAGAATTGCAGCAGGTATCTTACATTCAGATCCTGTGAGGGGCCTGCCTGTAAGGGAGATGATAGGGACTGGTGGAAACTATGGCAAACAGGAACAGACCAGCCCCCTGTAAAGGATCCCTCACTGTAGCCATATGTAACTTAAAGGAATATGTGCCAGGTCTTCTGAATTTCAAGGGATATTTATGTTAAGTTTCCCAGTGTTTAATGTTAGCAATTAATTTAAATATTCAAAAATGCAGTGTGGGCCAAATTAAATATATTTGGGAGACTAGATTCAGCCCATGTGTCTCCAGTTTACAATGGTACATGAAAAAGCCAACAAAAGTTTCAACTAATATTTGCTGGGCAATTGCTATACATGTTCTGTCTTAGATGCTGGGGATACGTGTAAACAAGCCAGGCACAGATGTGAATTGCCCTGCCCTCAGAGTTTCATCCTTATATTGATACTAAAATGCTAAAAGTTGTCATTTCTTCAAAATCGAAAAGCGAAGTATCTGGTCTAGGCCACTTGTAATAAAACCTAGCATCAGTGTGTCACTTGGCAAAGCCTCCAAATCTGTAAATACAGGGTTGTTGGAAACCAGTGATGCATGATGCTAAGAGAGCTGGCCTTCCCAGAACAGAGCTGAGAAACAAGCCAGGAAGCACTGAACACATGGAACTGGGGCAGTGGAAGTAGCAGGCAAGGGAGAGTCATCATGCTTGGAGCTGAAGCTCATAGCAGCATCTTCTGCAAACACACATCAAGACTTCAGATTTTTGGGTCTTGACATGATGTTCTAGATGCTAGGGGTCCTGGGAGGAAAGCTGGGCAACAGAGCAGATCAAGGACACTGCTCTGCACTTGCAGATGAGTAATGGGGCTGCAACCATCCCTCCTGGAACTTTGGATTTTGTAACAGACCAGTTCCCCATTGCTAGGCGTGGTGCCCCAAGTGCTGCAGAGATAGGACTGGGACAAGGAAGGAGCATATTTCTGTCCCCAAAGAGGTGCCTTTCTGGGGTGATGAGAACTGCAGATCAGGGCTAGGTGAGGAGGGGCTTTGGGTGCTCAGTATGGCCCCCTGGAGCTGGGCTCAGGTGGAGAGGTCAGTAAGCCAGCATGGGGTGCCAGGGGCCAGCAGTGGGCCCAAGCCAGTGTTAACCAGCCATCTCCCTCTTCCAGGACTACTTGGACCTGGCTGCGTCTACACCATCTGACTCCCTGCTTTATGATGATGGCCTCTCAGAGGAGGAAACACCCCTGGTGGACTGTAATAATGCTCCCCTCCCTCGAGCCCTCCCCTCCACGTGGATTGAAAACAAACTCTATGGTAGACTTTCACATGCATTTACTAGATTCTAGCAACATTGTTCCTCTGCACTATCCTTACTCTCTGTAATGCTTGTTAAGAGTGTTTCTGGTCTGAAAGAAACCAAAGTTCTCCTCTGAATCTTTTTATTTGTAAATGTCTGATTCTGCATCTGTTTACCTTCAGGTGTTCTTTGCAACTTTAAATGGTTTTTTAAAAGGATGTGAAAATAAATGCAATTATCTTGCTGCCCAGCAACTTAAGATGACTGAGAAGAAAGCAGGGCGGAACTCTCAGGGGATATTGAGAAAATGATGAATAAGACTTCTAGGGTGGGGTCAATCACAGTACTTGTAATTTAACTACTGGGATAAATTTACCCAACCTGGGGAGGCATTTAATTTGGAAAGGAGGAGCCAGCACCACCCTGCCTGCACTGAGAGCACAGCCAGGGGGGCTCCCCCAGACCCCATCTGGATGGGCTGGGGGCGCTTAGAGGCCACCCAGTACTGGGGAGCAGGGCCGGCTTGGCCTCGGCCCCAGCCCACACGTCCCTACTGGGGATACACACTCACTGCTGTTTTCACATCCTTTGCATTACACACTGTCACCGACAGTTGTCACCTTTGAAGTCGGTCAGCGCTAAAAGCTGGAGCAAATGCTTTAGAAAAAACACAGTCTGTGGTGCTGTGGTCTTGCAATGGCAGTAAATATGGTTCTTGCCAAAACTCCTTCGTCTTTGATTAAATACTTGAAAATTTTTTCTGTTTCCTAACGTTATCACTGATTGTTTTGAAAACTTGGGAGTTTCAAGCATTTTTCAGCTGAGATTGTTCCTTTTGCATGTCTCCTGAGTCACTCCTTGCTGGCTTTGGGTCTATGCTACATGACACTTGTCCTGTCGACTCTGTAGGGTTTGCCTGCATGCAGCCTCGATTTGGAAGACTCTCTCCTCTGTGGTAGGCTTGGATGGAAGACAGTAGGCTTCTTTACATTAAAGAACTTTTTATAGAAGCTGCCCACTGCAGTAAGCCCTTTAGTACAGCAGTGTGCTGGTGCTGTACACTGCCTTAGAAATAAGTTAAAACAGGCCAACCAATGTATCTATCAGACTTAAGAGTTTGAAGCTCATAAAAGTTAAAATTGATCGTTTCTCTGAAGTTAGTTACCAAGAAAGCATGATATTTCCCCCAAAATATAACAGTGTTTTGGAAACCTGGAGCACGAAGCCATTCATGTAATTGGCACAGAAACCAGAAGTTTGGTTTGAACCTCAAAGGGAGTTTTGCCAAGGCCTTACTGTCTGCACATGAAGTGTTGGTTCTTCAGTGCAGAACGAATGATCTGTTTTCATTTTTAGGCATGTCAGACCCGAACTGGCCTGAAGAGAGTCCTGTACCACTCACGAGAGCCGATGGCACTAACACTGGGTGTCCAAGATATGCAAATGATAGTGTATATGCTAACTGGATGGTTTCACCCTCAGCGGCACAATTAATGGACGCATTTGATAGTTAACATTTCTTTGCGAAAGGTAATGGACTCCCGAGGGGAAGACACATGCCGAGATCAGAAAGTCTGCTGGCCCCTTCTTTGTGCCCTTCATGCTGGCTGCGGTTTCCCCTGCAGCAGATGTGGCACACTGGACGAGCACTCCAAGTCCAGTGTTTGGGCACCTATTTCCTTCTCTTCAGCCCTTGGCAGTGCGCAGTGATGGTCTGTGTTCAGCGATGACCACCACACACTCTGTGCTCAAACCTGTGGGTCCTCCCTCACTACCTGAACTGTTCAATTTTTCTGGTTGCCACCAAACACGGCAACAAGATTTAAACATGAAGCACACACACAAAAAGGTGTAGAAGGGGAAAAAAACCTGGACCAGACAACCTGTCCTCGTTTAGAACAAGAGCTCGGCAAGGCCCTGTCTTGGTGTCACAGCCCTGTTAGGGCTGGAGGGGAAATGGGGACCTCAGGACAGGCCTCGGCTCAGCATTTCATGATCCTGAGAATGGTTTTTTAAAATCATGTAACTTTTTCTTAGAAAGACATTTGATTTTTATCGTGATTAAAATGATTCTTAGATTTAGCACAACAGAGAGATTTGATGCCATATTTGTTCTGTAGACAGGCAGTGTGAAGGGAGGGGGCTCCCGAAACACATCTGTCCCCATCACTGAGTGGTCATGACCCCCTGATAAGAAAAGAATGAAGAAAAGGGGCATTTGAGTAGGCTAACCTCCAGTCCAAGGACTTGGCAGCAGAGACTTGGCTGGTGTGAATACTACCCTCAAGGCCTTCAGTGCTCCACATGTTCCAGCGCCAAAAACCAGTGGGTCCTCTCACATGTGAGCAGTGAATGGGACTGGTACTCAACTTCAAAGGGACAGCTTAGCTAGTTCTGTTAGAGGTAGCATTGACAACGGCCAAGGGCTGCTACACCTCTGGTTTCAGGTCTAATGTGGAAGAGATACTCTGGCTCTTATAGAGCTTGTGTGAAAAGGTTCATGTATCCATTCACTCTTCCTTGTTTGTAACGTAATGCTGCTATAGCAAGACATTTTTGTTTCTTAGATTCTGACCATGATTCATAAGCCCCTTGTCATTCTTCCCTGCTTGTGGCTGCAGACACCCAGCACTCCTCCCATCTTGTGGGGGTGGCTTCCAGGAAGACCCGAGTCCTCTGCATCAGCACTGTAACTTTGCAGGAGAGGGCTAGTTACCAAAACACTGCCTGGTCTTCAGACTTAGAGCACTGTGAACAGTCTGACAGTAGTAGTCTCTTTCAAATACTGTATTTTACAGGCATTTCACAAAAGCAGTAAAAGGATGGCCTTTTTTTGGCCAAGAAGGTTTCAATGAGTGTATGTTGGAAGATATATGGTGTGTGTGTATGTGTGTGCACACACCCCCAGAGAACTGGAAAAGCTTACTGGAAATGTAATGTGGCTTTAGTTTGGGCCATTTTCCAGATACACTGTGATAAGTTCTTTTACAAATATCTAGTTGTAACAAACTTTTGGTTTTCAGATGTGCTTAATGCGTCTTATTAAATGTAGAAATAAGGGTAAACTCTCAAATGATTAAAACTGCCTACTCAATAAGTGTGAGTTGCTGCAGCAGGTCTGTTCTTGGTGGGTAAGAACTCCAGGTCTGGCTAACCCAGTGCTGGGGAATTAATTGTTGACTAAGAATCTAATTGTCTATTCCTCAGTCATAAAAGTACTCATACTTATTAGTCCTCTCAGACAGGATTTCCATATGCATAGATGCAGAAGTTACTAAGTATTAAGTGTTACTACTGAGTATTAGGTAGCAATCTGTCAGGTGTTAAAATTTGTAAAATATATTTATGAAAGGTTGTTGAACCATACCATGTTAATTTGCTTTTGTAATCCAGGTGACTGAGAAAATAATTTCAGTTATGTAAATAAAGTCATGTATTGTGAAATGTGTAAACTCCTCTCAAATTTCCTATGTGGAAACATCAGGTTTCTGATGTTGATATTTCTATGTAAACATTGAAATATTATAAGGGAATCTATTATGGTAACCACTGGGGAAGTAATAGTGGTCAAAAACCTAGAAGGTTCTTGGTGCTATTATTAACTTGTCTTGTACAAGATGTATAGGAACAGGCACATTTATGAAAACCGTTAAGCTCAGCTAATTCTACCATTCAGGAAATTCCTTCAAGTTTCCTTTTATAAAACAGAGCAGTAGTCATGTCAGGTCCAGGTTTTTACAGTTATATTGCAATTTGCTTGCTGTTTACTTCTTGAAGCTAGACTGGACAGTTGTGGGAGAATATAAAATGCATAGCCATGACTGAAGGTCTATTAGAAGTTGGAGGAATATTTTTCCCTGGGCCCCTATGAAGCTTAAGATGATAAATGCTTCTGGTTCTATCTTCCTGTTGGGTTGTGTAGGAATTCTATGAGCTTCTCCTCAAAAGCCTGGCATGGCACACCCAGGAAATGACATGAGTCCTCAGTATCCAGTGCACAGGGAACTAGAAATAAATGTAATTTCTAAGGTCAGTTATTTGCTACAGCCTTTATCTCTGAATGTTTCGAAGCCCATGCTGAGGAAAGCTAATATGAAAATACTAGAAGCCACTTTTCAAGAGCACAGAAACTTCCACTGGGAGTGTTCATGTGTATATATTTGGTTTTTCTTAAAAAGCATCCCCCACCAGCTTCCACAAAGACGTCCTTCCCACTGAAAGGCCCCTTATTTGGGTGGAAATGTAGTTTAATATTATGTGTGAGCGCTGGACTTAGACAAATACTTTATATAAAAGAAAATTCAAAGGGAAAATATAATTTCCCCCAGTGTAAATAAAGCATTTTCCCTCAGGCAGAGCAGGGAATGGTTCCTCTCCTTCAAGCATATTCCTACATAGGATATTAAGCTGATACATCATGGGCATGCCACCCCCACATCCCGTGACTAACATGTGAAGATGTGAGCAGCACCCATCCTCTGCTTATGAACCTGCACATAAGAAAACACCCCCTCCGCTGAGGTTGCCCTGTGCCCATCCCTTCTCCACATGGCAGCCATGATGGCCTTGTTAGAACTTTGTCTCCCACATTGAGGATTGATGCCTGAGGTCATGAGAAACCAGAACCAGTATATAGAGGATTTTTCAGTTTGGAGCACAGCACCAAGTCCCACAGCTGGGGCCAGATGGGTGGCTGAGTAACCACAGGGAGAAGAAGCTTCACCCTACAGAGTTAAAGAGGCATACTGTGTGCCCAAAAGAAATCAGTTAATCTTTGCAGCTCAGGTTTTGATTATTGCTTCAAGTGACATTTTTGCAGATGTGTCTGGATGTCCTAAGTCACGGACGCAGCCAACTGGGATCTCTCAGCAGGAGCCTAGGCAGAGGACCACCACCTCCCATCTCAGGGTGTCACAAGGAACTGGGCCAGACAGCATGAAGGGAGTCACAACCAGAGACCACCCCCAACCACAGTGACTTCGTTGCAAACCACACCAGGGGAGACCATAATGTACATCCCTTCAGAAGACATTGAGTAATTTGAGTTCAAAATTAGTGTGGACCAGCAAGGTAAGGCAAGTGCATTCTAAGACTAAAAAAAAAAATACATCATTTTTCATTTTGGTATTTTATACAGACAGTATTTACTATACAAACTGCGAATTTCTTGAATAAAAATAGGACGTCCATTTCGTGTCCATGTTTTTATTCATCTTTGTCGATTTCCTAAACAGTCCCAGAGTAAACCATACCCTTTTGGGCTGCTCTTGTTTCTCACCTGCACTCTGGTCCTTTTCTGCAGTTGTCATTTCCCCCGTGGAGAAAGGTCATTCCTGTGGGTCAGGAAGGGTCTCTTCCAGGAGGAACAGGAGGCTGCCTCTTGCTACCTGATCCATGCAGGGACTTTGACCACAGGACTGTGGGAAGCCCCTATCCTCTGAGGCTCTTCTCACAAAGGCATGTGACTTGCTCTGTATTTTGTGTTTGCTTCTGAGAGTTTTAAGAGCTTGAAAATTTTCCTGGAGGCTCTGGCCCCTGGGCTTGAGAAGCCAGGAGCACACCAAGGGTTTTGGGGGATTTCATGAATGCCTGAAAATATTATAGGAAGTGATTTATAACAGGAGTGATACCGAGGATGAAAGGACTCTTGGCCCTTGCAAGGTAGTCAAAGAAAATAAGTGGTAGAAAACTAACTTTTTAAGAGGGTCCAATTATGTATGATCTTTGGCTTTATAGAAATAAAGACCACCCAAATGAGAACAAGCAGAGATTATTTATTCTGAACTTGGTATAGTAAGGGAGTCAGCTAATATCACTTGCTTTTAGCAGAGCCTCAAAGCCAAGCAGAGAAGTGGGAAAGCTTTATAATAAAACAAGGGGCTGTGGGAGAGGGGCTTCAGGCATGATTAGAGGTTGTTGGCATGGGAAGGTTGGATAACTAGAACCTGGGCATCTTATGTGATTCACTTGGTAAACACACTTGGCTTTCTGTTTGGTCCAGAGTTGGAAATGAGGGCAGAAAATAGGGAAGCTGGCAGTCAAGTCCTAACCAGTCCTTACCACTGCACTGGCTACTACAGAGGTTGTGGGGCAAGTTCTTCAGTTATGTGTGCTCTGTTCAATATCTGAATATTCAATATCTCTGTCCTCCCTTTGGTCATTTTCTTGCTTATGAGAGATTGATGAACCCATGGAAGACTAGAAATCCAGATCTTCACTACTTAGACCATTCAGTCATATCCATGGCCAACTGTATCATGAGGTCTTCTTGACCTGTGGCTGGATCATCATGACTCAGAAAGTGGTTGTGTGGAAGCATTTCAGACCCTGGAAAGAATGCATCATGACCCACTATGACAAAAATGAGAACAACTAATAATCCCTGTAAGATGCTTTGAAACAAGAAACCCAGCCCAGGCTGAGGATAAATACCTTATAGACCTTAAGGACCAACCTTAGAGAGCCAAGTAGCTTGTGCCTTAAAGCATTACGTATACCCACCCCCCCTGTTTCACTGATCCAAGTACAATATTAGGAATGGCACAGACCACAACTAATCAATATGAAATTAAGAGCAATGCCACTCACCATCGCTACTCATAACAGGTTGAGACTGATCCATGTTCCATGTAGAGAAGAGGTGGTATCACTCACAACTTCTGCCAGAGTTAGTGATAAGTGTCTTATCCTATATGTATGATTATTTGAATAAACAGTGAATCTAATTCCCTCAGGAGTGTTGAATAATCAAGGTGGCTTCATTTTGGAGCTCATGTCTAAGTTGGAATTTTCAGCTTTGGTGATTCGAAGTGTTTCTGTGCACAGACAAGTCTTAGAATAGTGTTCCTAATATAGATGAGATATTAGTCAGAAGTAAATAGGACCAGGCATTCTGACCACAAAAGACGTAGTGTCTGGTAGGCATACATGGAGATCTAGGTAAAAAGAGGTTGTTGCAGAATAGACCACATACTAGGCCACAAAAAGAGCCTCAGCAAATTCAAAAAGACTGAAATTCTACCAACCAACTTTTCAGTCCACAAAGGTATAAAACTAGAAATAAATTGTACAAAGAAAGCAAAAAGGCTCACAAACACATGGAGGCTTAATAACAACACGCTCCTAAATAGTCAATGGATCAACAACCAAATTAAAATGGAGATCCAGCAATACATGGAAATAAATGACAACAACAACACAAAGCCCCAACTTCTGTGGGACGCAGCGAAAGCAGTCTTAAGAGGAAAGTATGTAGCAATCCAGGCATATTTAAAGAAGGAAGAACAAACCCAAATGAATAGTCTAACATCACAATT